CAGAAGTTTCTTTATTTGCAACTCTGACATTTTTTCTCCTCCCATGGGGTTTACCTTCCCTTGATATAATCGATCCAACAGTCCCTCATAACTCAATCATATCGTTTCCTTCCTTCATCAAGCCATCGAGCGCAATCCGTAACTGAATCTATCGATTACCACACCACCCAATGCACAAACGAAGTCTTAGAGCTCTCATAGACTTTCTCCTGGAGACTACTAAGATCTTTAAAGTAAAGGTTTGTGTTTCAAATACCAGTTTTCATATAACCCCTTGCATGTATGTTAGAGCAAAAAAATTAGAGCAAAGAAGACTGATCAGGATGATATTAGGTTAGTTGTTTTTCTAGGCACCTGAAGTAGATGCAATCATTGATCCAAATGTTGAATCACCAAAACTATACCTTACAATTTCTAGGTTCCCACCTTGAGGACAAGGCAATTTTTTTAGGCGGTTAGTATTTGTTATGGATAAGTACGGAGGGAAGAGAGTTTTCATGAATTAAAATGGAATTAGTTATGATATATTACTATTAGAATTATAAGTTTGTTTTAGTTAGATTTGATTTCATTTGTATTTATCATTTTACTATTCGCGTTTATCCTTTTACTATTATAAATAAGGAAATTAGATTAGATTAGGACATTGGAAAGTATTTGATTAATTCAGCCATTTGGCTTCAGAATAGGGAGTTTTCTCCTTAGGCGTTATTGGGTGACAACAATTTTTTCCATTTATTTATTGAATTTGAGTTAATTTATTTTGGAGATGATTTACTCTTTAACATATATCCACCCACCACCACATAAATAATCTCATCTCCACTTAAATTTCTCATATCAAGTATATAGTATTGGGGCTGTAAACGATTGGATTAAATAAGACAAAATTGAATTTAAATTTGATTCAAAATTTTATAAAATTCATATATGTTAAACCATATGTAAATTTGATGGATAACCGAAATTTGATAAGAAAATCTAATTCGACAAAAAAAAATACTCTTTTATATTCAAGTCCCTTAACTCTACTCTATCAATTATATTCGTCCCTAAATTTTTTTATTCTCTCAATTTAATTTTCACAACTTTAAATTTTTTAATATAAACTATATAATATTATTAATTTAATAAAAAATATTATTAAATTTAGATTCAAAGTCTTAACGGATTGAATTACTTAATTTTATATCCGATTCATCTATTTTAGATTATGTATATTTGTAATTTGATCGATCTATCAAATATTTTAATCAAAAAATTTTAAAATTCGGTTCAAAATCAGATTAAATTCAGATTAAAATTTCACCAATTGATAGCTTTATTTAGCACTTTGCAAAAGGGTAAACAAATTTATATGTTAAAAAAGAAGGAATTGTGAAAAACAAACATAAAAACAAGAATTTGTGGTTAAACAAAGAGAGGAATTGATGATTTATTTATTTCAGTTTTTAATAAACAGAGAGCATAGATGCGTTTGATACTTCTAGATGTGGGTTTCAGATTGTTTTGGCTTTCAAGACACCTTCCGTTCAACTCTAACCTCAAAAGTTAAACAATATGATCTGATATTTTAGAATTATATTTAATAATTTTATAGTTTCAAATAGATGTTTTTATGACACTGTAACAATATAAACTGTTATTATATAATAATAAATATCAAAGTAAAATAATTTCAAGAATTATTTTAAATTTTTTGGGTTGATCCTAATCGAATTCATGCCCACAAAAAAAAGAAAAAAGCAAAAATTGTAGATCATTTGGGATCGACTTAATAAGCACCCATGAGCATTAATTTTTGACCATAGTGATAGGATTGGGGCAAAAATTGGCACGGGTGGATGCTTCTCCAAAAGACTTCTCAAGGGAAATAATAGAAATGTAGCATATCGGATTAGAAGTAAGAGAAGGCCTTGAATAAGAAAAATTCAGCATGAGCAATTCCAAATGTAGAACTCATTTGAAAATTCCAAACTACCTTTCCCACCAAAAAGAAAAAAGAAAAAGGAAAATCGGAACATTGCCATGCCACATATCTTAATAAGATAAAATACATGATCTATAATTGAAATATTTATGATATCTAAAAAATAATTAGAAAGGAATGTTGCTAAATTATTTAGGATATATTGCTATATAACTTTATTAAGAAATTAAAATATAAAAATAACTAATATTGAAATCCATATACGTGCGATTTAAAGTAAAGTGAGATCAATACCTTACATAAATATATACCAAGTTCATGTGTGCGTGTATACATATGTATGTATGTATGAATTGAATGTAAAAAAATTAAATCACATTATTTTTTCATAACAATTATTAAAATTAATTAATAGGAGCTTCACGATGTGATAAGTATACTCATAAAAGGATTAACTTTTAATGTGAAAAAATTACATTACATTATTTATATATAACAATTATTAAAATTAACAAATAACATTTTCATGAAATGATATATATATATATATATATACACACTCGTGAAAAGATTAAGTTTTAAAATATGAAAAATCCACGTCTTGAATAATATTACATTTACAAAAGGTTTTTGTCTTTTGCGTATTTATTCAAATTTCAACTGTTCGTATATTTTGACCCGCTTGAAATAAGGTGGATTAGACTGACAGCTGAGGATCTCCTCAACCGCTGACTTTTATGTCTTTGTGTCCATCAAGAAAAGCCTATATGCATACGTATTCAGACGATGAGAACAGTAAAATGTAACTGTCGGATGGCCACCGGAGTTTCCTTGTCGTCCAAGAAGATGACCGCTTTGCTTCCCGTTGCTATCTTCTCACTGTACGGTAACCAACGCCCAAGCATGCTGGATGTGAACTAGTTCTTCGGGGAGTTCTCGTGGTTGAAAATCAATAGCAACAAGAAAAAAATAAAAGAAAAAAAATTAAAGCACTGGGAGATGCCACGTCTGAGGAGTGGGATTGCTGAAGTTTCCCTTTACACGTTTCCTGTCTCTCCAAGGAAAGATTTAACAAGCGTTGACTTCTCAAGAAACAATGCGTATTAATGTTTTACACCAAGAGTGCGTTAACACTTCCAAAATATTTTAGAGTGTCGGGTATTTTTAAAAAAATAAAATAAAATAAAAAATTAAATTTCTGATTATTTTCACACTTAATATGAGCAGTTTTGGAAAAATAGTTGGAAAGAATTTTCGTAATTATATTCAGACTTAAAATAACTTCCATTTTTATAGAAATTTTAATAAGAAAAATCTATATGCTAAAAGCACTTGTTTTGAAAGTTTATCCAAACAAATCCTTATGACTACGCTTAACAAGCTTGTCAAATGCTGTGGGGAATCCTTGTTTGCAGCTGGGTTTTAGCTAGTTTCTTTGAGAGCTGTTCCTCGCGAGGTTGGTTAAAGTTGATGCTTGGCGGGTTGGCTTTTGTTGTTCTAGGGTGGTTTATCTTTACATAGGTTGGGGAGGGGGCTTAGGGTTTTGTTTGTTTCTCCTCACTTATGTGGGCTGTTTTTTATTGGATTTCTGCATGCATTGGATTATTTGTCCTTTATTTGGTTCATAAATAGTTTTAAGAAAATAAAAGGTTGTAGGGGGCTGTGATAACTTAGGTGTTAAATGATGGTGATAATTACTGTATATATATGTGCATGTGGTTATTAATCATATAACATTCTTTAGAAAACTAATAAATACTTCCTTTCCTTTTGTCCTTTCTAAATTAGTCCTTTCCAAATGCGAGCAAGAAAGGAGATGAAAAATGTTAAGTGGTCTTTAATTTTCTCAATTCCAAAAATTAATTTATAAAATGAAGTTTTCCTTCACAATTATGCACAAATCACCAACCCCTTGCACTTCTAACGTGAGACATCCAACATTTTCCTTATTCGCATATTGGGCCAACCGTAAAATCCATATCTACTGGGGACATGTTATAACTTAAGTAATAATATCCATGTTAGGTGGTCTTTTCAACTCTAAAAATTAGCTCACAAGACGAGGTTTCTCTTTAAACTTATACACAAATCACATCTTCTTCCACTTCTCATATGAGATACTCAACAAGAAATGCTTAAATTCAAATAGTTTTTGGTAAATAAAATAATGAAAATGTCAACTCTTATGGTTAAAGTGTTCAGAACTCTAAAACTGTGGTTGGATAGAATCATATAAACGCGTTGGATAACTAAAAATTGTAAAGAAGTCAAAATTGGTGACAATTATATCTACTTTGTTTTTACCCAAATCAATGAGATTTGACGAAAAATTAATAAACCCGGTAAAGAATTATTATGCTATTCCTTTTTTTTTTTTTGTACGGTGTAACTAAACAAGATTGATGAAAAATCACACCTCCTTTTTTTTTTTTACATTTTTCATCACAGAGTAATTAAGTTCCATCACGCAAGAAAATTCTTGTCATCTTGGATTAGTTAGTAGGAGAGGGAATAAGAAAAAAAAGGCTCTTGTTTGGACCACGGACATTTCCCTGCTCCTTCCCAGAATTTTCTTTATTCAAACTGTAGAATATTTATCCCTGTGGATTATTCTTCTTCTTATCCGGGCGTAATTGATGCGTATAAATAGATGACAGAACCTAGACAACTTCAAATTCTTCTGCTTGCAAAAGGCCAGGCTTTCAACAGCATTGCTTTGACCAATCTGCATCGATCCTTAGATTTAACATTCTGTTTGAGATCGCTAGAGATGGAGAAAACCTCATCTATTCCTCAAATCCGGGCCCCCATATATGGCAACTTAATCACCATTCTCAGCATAGATGGAGGCGGCGTTAGGGGAATCATTCCTGCCACCATCCTTGCATACCTTGAATCTCAACTTCAGGTAATACCCTATTTTGATATTTCTCTGTTAGTTATCTATGCATGAATACAACGCGAGAGAGAGAGAGAGAGAGATACCCAGCTCAGAGATAATCCATTGCTAGTTATTTTTATCAAGACCCTGCCCGTTTGTGACTGGAATGAGGAATAAACCAGAAATCTCATGTGGAGGGGCCCGGTAGTAAGTTTCTAGTATAATTGATGGCGTCATTATGTAATTTACAGAATTCAGAGGGCCAATCTTCGACTTTACGAGAAATTGACGAAAATAAGAGATTAATGCATAATGTTCGAAGCCTCTTGGAGGGCCGGGGGGAGGCATGACCCCACCAGCCCCAGGGCTTCGTCTCTGACCGGAATTATAGAGTCATGACGTGTCTTTATTTAGAATATTAAAATTTTATGTATTTAATAAAAAGAATAAAATCTAAATTTTAAAATAGAACCATTGCAGTGCTTTCTGTAATTAAAAAAGTAATCTTTTCCATCTTGAGAGTTAATTGAGTTTTTATTTTTTAATAATTGAATTAAAACATTCCATAAAATACGTGAAAATTTTTTTAAAAAAACTCAAAATGGGTTCAAATAATTAAATATGATTAATCGGGTCATAAAAATAAATGGTAATTGTTAGGAGCTGGATGGTGAGAATGCAAGGCTTGCAGATTACTTTGACGTGATAGCGGGGACAAGCACGGGCGGCCTTATGACCGCCATGTTAACTGCTCCGAACGAAAATAACCGACCTCTTTTAGCCGCGAAAGACATCAAGCCGTTCTATCTGGAGCACTGCCCTAAGATATTTCCTCACAAGAGGTAATTGACTCGGTTATTGTCATCTTTACCGACTTCTCATCCTTGTTAACTCTCAAACATGTGGTTTTGGTTAATAACGCAGAGGCGCGTTTGGATGGCTTGTAAAGAATCTGAAGTCGTTATTCGGGCCCAAGTACAATGGCAAATACCTTCATAAGATTATAAAGGAGAAACTTGGAGAGACGAGGTTGCATCAGACCTTGGCCCATGCTGTCATCCCTACTTTCGACATCAAACATTTGCACCCCACAATTTTCTCCACTTACGAGGTCTCTCTCTCTCTCTCTCTCCCTTTTCGTAAGAACTTTTTCTTGCTCAGAAAGTATAACTGACCAGGTATTTTATAAGCACGTAGGTGAAAAAGTCCCCGCTGTTGGATGCTCGATTATCCGATATATGCATCAGCACATCTGCAGCACCAACTTATCTTCCAGCCCACCACTTCATGAACCAAGACAGTAAAGGCAATATCAAGGAATTCAATCTCATCGACGGTGGTGTGGCTGCAAATAACCCGGTAAAAATTATTACTATATTCGGATTAATACTAACTTTTGCGTTATTTTCCATGCATTAGTTGCTTGAATCTAATCCTAAAGATTCATTAACTTGACCAACTCACAAATTTATTGACGTCTTGGCGAGATTGCTTGTAGGCTCTGGTGGCAATAAGCCAAGTAACAAAACAGGTGTTCGATGAAAACCCAGATTTCTTCCCCATCAAGCCCATGGACTACGGCCGATTTCTGGTGATCTCAATTGGCACGGGCTCGGCCAAGGGGGAAAAGAAGTACAATGCTAAAATGGCAGCCAAGTGGGGAGTGTTGGACTGGTTAATTCATGGACGTAGCACTCCAATAGTAGATGTTTTCAGTCAAGCAAGTGCTGATATGGTTGATTTTCATAATTCCGTGGTCTTCCAAGCTCTTCACTCCGAGGATAACTACCTTCGGATTCAGGTAAGCATACATGAACTCTAACTTTCTTCATTATATACACAAAGTGTCTGTTTGGCTAAAAGCCTAAAAAGCTCTTAAGTTGCTCTTTGAACATTGGGGGTGCTGGTGTATTATTGACCTTAAACCCCTTGTGCACAAATTTTCTTCCTTCAAAAATAATAGTAGTAGCAAAATTCAGTGGCAAATCACCCTAACCTTGTTTCGTGTGTGGGTGAATTGATATCAATGGCAGGAAGACAGGTTGAGCGGAACGGACTCCTCCTTGGATATCTCCACAAAGGAGAACTTGGAGAAGCTTGTTAGCATTGGAGAGAAGTTGTTGAAGAAGCCGGTTTCGCGGGTGAATTTGGAAACTGGCTTATCAGAGCCAGTTAAGAACGGTGGCACAAATGAGAAAGCTTTAAAGAGGTATTCAAAAATAAAAATATTATTTTAATTTTTTGAAATTCCTATAATGTATGGTCAATTAATTTCTCAAAAATCATAATATTTAGAAAACTAAAAATTGTAATTAGAGATATAAAGAGATAAAGAAAAGACATAAAAATTTTAATGGTTCAGCATAAATAGTATAAACTCACCTAAAATAATAATTATAATTTTATAATACTAAATTGTCTCTCTTTATTTCTAAATGAATATACATGTTATAAATATTTTTATGAACACTTAAAAAGATTAAAATAAAATGTAATATTTATAATTATTTTCATGGCTTATTTCAATCTCAATCTTACATTTAATATCACATATAATATCTCTTAAAAGATTTTGTAACAGTACTGACCATGTTATTTTTCATGTCTCTTAACAGGTTTGCAAAGTTACTATCGGATGAGAGGCGACTCCGCCGGTCAAAAGTGTCCAAACATCAATGGACGAATCAAGGAGGGAGTTGAGACGCCATTATTCGTAGGACCATCGGCTATGGTACAACTGCACTTAATGTGTTTTCCTTTTCAGTTGTCATTTGTCAATTATTGTGATTTATTTTATTCTTTTAATTTCTTAATCATTTCTGTAACGGAAATGTAATAACTTTAAGCTTTATTTTTATTCATTTCATTGTTTAAATTGAGATTACAAGCAAAATTTGTGATGGTAAAAAAGTAAATAAATAGTGCACTTATTTACTCTCTCTCTCTCTCTCTCTTTTTTTAAGTTAAACTGATTTAATTTAAGATTTATTACTTTTTAAAAATATATTTATCAAACTACACGGCGGGTTAAAATCCCTTTAGAAATTAGAATATAGGATGATTACTAGTCAAAAATTATAGAAGGTAAAATTGAGCTTGCTCATGATTTGTGAATTGGATCGAACTAAAATTGAATCACTGATTTTGATTCTAAAAAAAAAATATGAACTGAGATCGACACCCTAAAGACCAGTTTTAGTTTTGGTTTTGGTTTTGATTAATCACAGTTCTATTTGATTGTGGTTTTGATTCCTGTTCCAGGTCGGATCAGTTCACGATTCTAGCTTAGGCCACTTCATTATTTTGGTTCATTCGCAATTTTGGTTTGTTCTTGGTTCGTCATGGTTCCGATTCTGATTCTAATTCTAGTTCGTTTACGGCTTGTTCCCAGTTCAATTGCAAATCACTCTCGATTTGTCCATAGTTCCATTCAGTTTTCAGTTCAATTTTGCCCCAAAAAATTTATATATTAACTTATAAATATTTTTGAATTATTAAATATTTTTCAAGTATTATAAATATTTAATCTTATAAATAACTTTAAAATACTAAATACAAAATAATAATAAATGATTTAAATTTAATTATATATTAATTAAGCTATCTATGTATTCTTTGGAGTTTAGATAAATCAAAATTCACATAATTCACTTAATTAATATATTCTCTTACTTTTTGTTGGAAGCATGCTCGAAAGGAAATTAAAAAAATAATATACTTATATTTATATTAGTATTTTGATAATATGTTCTTGATCTAAACATTCTTATATTTAAGTTCTTTAAACAACTGAAAAGTAATAACAATTAAATTATATCAAGTAAGTATTTGTTAGAAATTGAAAAAAGGAAAATAAGAAATATATTAACTTTTCATAATTAAAAAATTTTAATTTTAACATCTATTTTTAATTTTTACAAGCTAATATTTTGAAAGAAAAAAGAAAAATGAAAGAAAAGAAATGATATTTGCCAATTTTTCATATTTTTGCTACCCAAATTAGAAACTATAATTGATTAAGGAGTTATTTACTTTCAGAAAGTTTGAAATTTTTAATTTACTTTTTAATTTGTTTTTAATTAGAAAGAAATCCTCTTAAACAAATTAAAACAAATTCATGGTTCACTTATGGTTTGGTTTATAGTTTACTCATGATTCATGGTTCATTCACATTTTTTGTTCACAATTCTAATTCACGATTCAATCTTGGTTCAAATGTGGTTTGATTAACACGGTTCTATTCGATTTCGGTTCACTTGTTTTGATATGGTTCTAATTTCAGTTCCAATTCCGGTTTAGGTTCAGAAAAACAAAAATTTTAGTTGGACTGGTTACCCTTATGATTAGAACTAGACTGGACTAAAAATTATTAGTTTGGTCCAATGTAGTTCGGTCCATTTCAGTTTGATTTTTTATAGGTTCAATCTAAGTCAGTACATGATCTAGACCAGATTCGTGGATAGGCCTAGATAAATGAAGTGTACAAACGTTGTCTTGCTTTTAGGAGTGGGAATGCCCCATTAACAATCGATATTAGGTTAATTTATAATTGATTTGTTTGAACTTAGTGATCTTTGGGTGGATTTGTAGATGACTTGGAAAATAATGTTTTTATAAAAAAAGTAATATTCAAAATTGTTAATGGACTGAATTTTAATTCAATTTTAATGTGAATTATGAAATTTAAAATTTAAATTCAATTAAAATATTCTATGAATCTAATTTGATTATAAATATTCGTAATTTAAAATTAAAAAATTAGATATAAAATTAAGTAATTTGATTTATTAAAAATTTAAATTCGTATTAAAATAATTTTTAAATTAATAGTGTTATATTTATATGTGTGTGTGTGTGTGTGTGTACGCGCATGCGTGCACTTTAAAAATTCAAATTTGTAGAGATGAAGTTAAACAAGAAAATTAGAATACAACATAATTGAGGAATTTAAATGTAAAAAAAAAAAAAAAAAAATTGCTTAGCGAATTTTGGATTACTTATAATATTCGAATGTGAATTAACAGAAAAAATTCTTTAAGATCTCGAATTGATTCGAATTTACCTAATTGATCTAAATTTGACTTGTTAAAAGCTCTAACTATATTTTTAGAAATGGGTTATCTTTGAATGAACATATTAAGTTTATTTTAATTATATGTGAAAAAAAATTTTGAAATCTCATTCCACGTGAAAGGTTGACAAGCATTTCAATTTAATTAATGTTATGGGCAATCCATATTTGCAGCTGGGTTTTAGATAGTTTTTTGGCCAGGGGTTTGGTCGTGGTTGAGACACGACCAGAGGGCAAAACATAAACGAAAGAAAAGCATAAGTTGAATTTAATTGTCCAAATTGGTCTCAAGTCCATTGTTGATAAATGGAAATTACTAATACATCCACGATTAACATAGTACAAAATATCCTTTTCCTTTGAATTGGATCTTCAGGCAGCGTTTCTTGACGGACAAAGCTCATAATTTACTCTCAGTTTCACTCTCTATTTTTCTGAAATTTTGCCTCTGATGTTTTCCTTGTAGAAAGTTCTAAATCATTAAGAGCTAGGAACCACCCACCCAAGTGACCTTTCCAAGAAGGCAAACTTTCAACTTATTTTAAGCTGTTCAAGTTATAGAATTCTTGTTTTTCTCCTACTTCTTCTTCCCAGAAGGACTCGAATGGTTTATTGAATTATGTTACATAAGTGGACACAGCTTGGGGAGATCAATTCAAACAGGCACGATTAAAAACTTGGTTGAATATTTAGTGATATACTTTCAACCTCTCTCACTTCGGAGAGTAGATTGTGAAGATCAAAAGCCTTGTCCAATAAAAATGAACAGGTTTCAGTAGATGCCATTTTCTCTTCTTGGGTGGGAAACAAGTATCTTTCATGCTTTTGGCAAATCCTATGAGTATTTTGACGAGCCACAACATGTTTTCATTGGTTACATACAAACAAACTAAAACCACTTGCAATTCAGGAGGACCACGAATATTTTAAAGAAATGGATAAGGGAAAACAACCACTATATTAAATCATCAATTTAATCTAGTTTTTAAGGTTGACTTGAATTGATTTGTTAAATTAAGTGCATTAGTTAGTCATACGAATTTTTTGATATTTCCATTTAAGTTAAGAATAATTTAACTTGGCATTGACTAACTAATTAATCATTGTTGACTATCAAAAACAACGTGTCAAATGTGTTTAATTATCATGCATTAGATGGAACTATTGGTCATTTTGCCAACATATTTCTTTCATTAGATCCTCCAAGCTGGAAAGAGATCAACTTGCTCACCAAATAAGATTAAAATTTTATGAAATCGTCTTTGTCTTATTTAATTATAATAATTAAGCATTGTGCATTGCATCTAGTAACCTAATTAAGTCATTGTGGCATGACTTATAAGATCCTTCAAGGTTCATCTCTTCGTGGCGTGGCATACCTTAAGTAGGAGAATTGACAACAACTTCAGCACCCGATGAGATTAAACACGTCAGTCCTAAAATATTAATCCTTAAAGAAATGGTCATTATAACATATAATTATAACACACATGGAAAACTAACGCGTGCATTGTTTTATTGGGTAAAGACAGTGTCTTTTCTTGCAATGCATATCTAAGTAAGAACATAAGTGATCATTTAGCTCAAGCAAACATTGGTTAATTAACTCCAACTGTTTAAAACCCTCCAATATTTAAGTAACGAATGGTGGCGGGCTGGCTGCTAGTATAAATCTGCAAAGCCAATCTTCCCAAAGAGACCAAAAGATTCATACATGGTTGAAACAAAATCAAACTCATGGGCTGCCAACCATTTTTTTGTCAAGATTGACATAAGATGGCACGTCAATTTATATCCCACTTGAATCTTGTGACAAATCACAAAATTCCCCAATTTGGGAAATGGGATTTTTGAAGATCTATTAGTTAGTGTTGAATATTTTAAAAGTGCTGAATATTAGTTAGTGACAGTGTGTAAAAATCTAAAAGTACTATAAGATAGAAATGAGTATTTTAATTTCATGCTATCTTACACAAATTCTTGTAAGTATTTGAATGTAAAAGGATAAGTTGCTAGCACATTTGGAAAAAACAAAATTCCGAAAACAGAAATAAGAATTATTCCAAGAATCATCATCAAAATGTTTTCAAACATAAGCCCAATGCATGTCTTTCCAAAACAACCTCAATCATGATCTTTTGTTTACTTTCACTGTTAGTATTTCTT